GGCCTTAAGCGAGGTATCCGTCCCAGATGTCATCGACCGAGCCACTAGCTCTCGAGGCGGCACCATTGTGAAAGTGCCCCGCCTAGTATCAGCAATGCAAACCTGGCAGGTTGCGGACTCCAACATCATCGAATATACCTTCCGGAGCACCTTTGAGGGCAAAGTCGACGTGGGTTGGAATTATGCACGAATCAGTTTCATCCGAGGAATGTGGCAGGCCCATTCGCGCGCTCTCGCCCAGCGCCTGGGGAAACCCTTGCCACCCTCTGCCATCAAAGTCACAGCGGAGCCCTCCTCAGAGGGTGAGAATGGACGCCAAGAGAAAATCACGGCGGTTGTCAATGTCCCGCTGAGTAAATTCACCTATGTGGCCCTTGAGCCGCCGGTGATTGATACTCCACAGCTCAGGGACATGGGCGAGGCGACGCCGCCGCTGGAGTGGATCGGGCTACACAGGGACAAGCTGCCGGAGGCAACGCACAGCATTGCGATTGTGAGTCTGTTGGAGATTGCGAGGGAGGTAGAGGATGCGTACACCAGGATTTTGGGGGCGAGCTGATCTCCTTCCTTTCTTTCAAAGGCATAGCGACGGCGGGGAGGACAACATCATTGAAATGGGAGCGGGAATAGGTTCGGCCATTGCTCGGGAAAAGCACGGGGATTAAAACACTTCAAAATGGCATTGATTACAAAACTTTTTGTCGATACCTTTTTTGACCGATTTTCCCAAGTCCCTTTACTTGCCTTCGACATAGAACTGAGGGATATGGATCTAGAGTAAATGCGACGCCAACCTGCATGAACCTTGCGGTGCCGAACGAAAGACACTCGTATCTATCGATGATCGATGATTGATGCCCAAATGTCCGCCCAGGCTGGGTATCTCTTTGGGTTCATTGGACGACACGATATTGTTGTCTGGTTAATATGTAGTAAGTAATGAAGTAATAGTGATGAACTCCGTACTGTAGCATTGTCCAATTTTCCATTGATTGCACTAGAGTTGTCATCTGTCATCTGTCGTCTCTCGTCTTTGTATCTCAGGCGGGTGGCACCACAGGCTTCCCTCCCTCCTCCAACCCTGGTGCTCCCCCTCCCCTTTTCGTTTCCGCAAATGTGTTCTTCATCGTCAACAGCGACGACTCTGAGCAACCACGTCAATCAACCAAGCGATCACTCGATTAGGCTCAGACGACCGTGCAGGCAAGTAGGCGAGTTAGATATAAACAAAAAAGCAAGCAAGCAAGTAGCCAAATCGAGCAACCATTGAATCAATCAGTGAATCCAGTCCAATCCGCGTCCATTTATATCTGTTTTGCAACATCGTCCTGGAGGGATGATGGATGGCGCGCAGCCCGAACCAAAGCGAGCCGTGTAGTAAACAAAATCCCGATTCCCTCCCTTTCCTTTTTCCCACGCTGAAACGTCCACAACAACAAAAACAGAATCAATGACCCGTACTCTCCGCGAAAATAGAAATCTCTTCCAGGAAAAAAAAGGAAGGGCGGGAAAAAAGAAGACGGGACCGCCGTGCCAGAGAACCTCCTGCTACCTTTGAGTGGGAGAAAGTCTCGTCTGGCATTTGCCCCATCTCTCTCTCAGACACAAACATACACACTCTCCTTTCTGCCAATTTGGTTCCATCACTCCTTTCTTCCCCATTACTGCTGCAATCCCTCAGGGCCCGTGGGCCGCCTTCCGCTTTACACTGCCCCTTCTGTCTTCGTTCTCACAGGAGATACCTCGTCCTCATCGTGGAAGGCATACCTACTGAGTTTCCTGATGCGTGCACCGTAAATATAAAAGACGTAAGGGATCGCGCAGCACGCTAGAGCAAGAAACGCCAAGAGGGAACTGGCCCACTGGTACCCCAAAGTGTGATACATCTGGACCGTGAACAGCACGACACTCGCGCCCCAGAAGGATCGAATGCAGGTTTTGGCGGCGAGCGCCGAGGCGGCCAGGTGCTGGTAGGTGTCCACGAGGTAGTTGTTAGCCGAGTTGTACAGGAAGATAAATCCGAAGCCCACGGGGAAGCCGCCCATCATGGGTCCCCAGTACGAGACGTCCGGGTATGATGTCCAGCCGAAGATGAACAGGCCGATTGGGATCAGCCAGCAGGAGAGCATCATGGGTATGAGACGGGCTTCGGCGGGGGGTTTGCCATCGGGATACTTGGCGCAGATGGAGAGGTAGTGCTTGTTGACGAATGGGGAGAGGACGGCTGAGCAGACGACTCCAATTGCAAGCGGAATGAACATAAGTCCCGTAGAACCTTCAGACCATCCCTTTCCCTCGACGTATACGATTGGGTAGGCGACGAAGAACATGTAGAGAAGGCCATAGAGCACAGACATGTATAACGAGATGAGAAGGACGATAGGTTCGAGGAAAAGTAGCTGCAGTGGCCGAAGGAGGAAGATGACGAGTTGTTGTGTCAAAGGACGGGTGTCGAGGTCCCTTTCTGTGACGTATTTGCTGTCACCGGTCTCTTTACGGAGCTTCTTTGCGCGTTTGGCCAGGAGAACTGGGGTGTAGGTTTCCGGGACGGTAAAGGTCAGAATGGCTAAACAGAACCCGGCGAGGATGAGTTGGATCCAGTAGAGCCAGCGCCAGCCAGCGGCGTCGCCAAGGAACCCGCCGGCTAAGGGGCCGATCGCAGGGCCGACGAAGGGAGCTGCCGAGAAAACAGCCATGGGGACACCGCGCTCTTCATTCTTCCAGAGATCGGCCAATGTGCCCCCGACGAGGGTCATGGGTGCAGAGAATGCGATGCCATCGATCAGACGGCAGACCAAAAGTGTGCCAATGTTCTGTGCCACGGCGCAGGGGATTTCAAATATGACGGCCAAGCCCATGGTGATGACGTAGACTGGCTTCCGACCGTAGAGTTCGGACAATGGTGCAAATGCAAGGGGACCAACGCCAAATCCGATGACGAACATGGTAATGGTCAGGAGGGAAACTTCCTCTGAGACGTGGAATCTCTCCGAGACTCCCTCCAAGTCGGCCGTGATAACAGCGGAATTGAAGGCGACAGTGAAACAAGTGAAGGCCACGACCATAGTGCACCACCATTCTGTTCAGAGAGGCGTCAGCAAACGCGGGAATCAACCAAATTGCTGCGCGGAGAACATACTGTAGGCTTTCGACCAATTCTTTGGGTTTTCCGGATCGCCAACCTTGAAAGTAACCAATTCATGCTCCTCAAGCATTCCGGTGACTCTCGATATCGTCTTCTTGGGGATCACTCCAGTCGTCGTCTCCTCCAAATATTCGTTCATATCGGCTTCATCGCTGAGGATGTCGTAAGGCAAATCCAGCAAGTCCGAGGCATCTTGCGTCGGTCTGGTTTCATAATGTTCAAGTGTCCGACGAGTGGATGCCCGGGTCAACCTGGTCTCTGATCTCTCAACGCCATGCTCCTGAGCGCCGCCGGCGTCCGAAACCGTGGGCGTTGTAGTGAGAGAAGTCGAATGGGATATGTGATTGTGATCCATGGTGAGCTCGGCGAATTAAAGATGGCCAAGGGAAATAGCTTTGAACAGTAGGACTGCTTCTTTAGGCAGATTAGAATGCCACGATTGAGCTGGAGGATAGAAGGGGCAACGAAGACCCGGGGGTGAGGTGTATATATACCATGGGTCCCGAAGTCTCGTGCTGTCTTGACAAAATCGATCTAGAGACTTCGCTGCCCAACCAGGGCACCACCCCGCCAGAGTACGTGCGGGCCCAATGCCACAAGGCGCCAGGATCCAGCATTGATTTCATTTACCCATGCAGGTGGTTCGATATCCCTGTGCCGTACTCGGCCGTGCGCAAAGCGCGAGCGACGACGATATTGACCCAAGTGGAGTGAGTGTGCGGAAAGGCTGGCGGCGAGACATCCCTGCAGCCAATGAGATAGCCGAGTTAATTAAGCTTAAATCAGGTGAAGGAAAAGTCGGCATGCCCCTTTTTGAGGCGAAGGCACCGAATGCCACTCAGATAGGCCGGTGGGGAGTGATAAGTCAGCGCAGTTCAGACCGAAGCCAGTTGGAATGTACCGTTGAGAACACCCGCGCCTTGGAAGAGAAGCTGATTGGGAAGCAAGCGAGAAAAAAAATCAAGTCGACTGAAAACTGCCCGAGAGTGCGCCGAATCTAGCTGAAGTAACCACCTGGCTGGGCCACCGTCTCCAATTTTGGGCAACAAGCCACAGACGGCTGTTGGCTGCCTTGCGGGAGGATCCGGCAAGGCTCTGAGATGCAGGAACATACCAAGTACAGTACTGCAGATGCCATTACTCATGCCCGAGTCAGGTAAGGCGCTGGCGCTGGATGTCACAATGGAATATATTCCTGGTGCTGGTCGCTGCTATTATATCCCGATCGATATCCCAATTCAAGCACTGTCCAGTGGATGTGTTGTGTGGCCATTGAAAGAAGGCTCGGTGCCCGATATTTCTCACTGCTCTTCAGGGGCGAGGGTTTCTGGCACAACATTCATTTCTCTAAGGATTATCGTCTGCAACGCGGTCAGGAGAGGCATCAACCAGTATTGAGTCTGTTTGCGTCCGAGGTTTTGATTTTTTTTTTTCTTTCGAGCAGGATCCAGAGAGGTCGAGAAGCAAAGTCTACCAAGTACTGTAGAGTGCCGTTATGTTTGTTCCAACGTGACTATCTGCCAACCACGGAGAGAGGCGGAAATGCAGTTTGCAGGGAAACTTTGCTGATCGTCAAGAGGCATTTTGTTGAAACGGGTGACAAGTCTTGGCAGCACCTGCGACTTGCCGGGCTTGGCGTTTCGCATCGACCTCGTGGCTGTGCGGAACGATGAGGTCATAGCTGGTCCGCCATTCCGGCTAGCCCCGCCACGCTCTGCGACATTGCCCGGAATGACATTGAGTGACTAAGGCTGAATGCTACTCGTCGCCCTGGATGCGATGCCCTTGAAAACATAGCGACGGTACTCTGCCTCACTCGTCTCTGAAAGTCGCTGTTTGATTCTCGCATATCAACATGTCGGACTATTACAACACCAACCCGTATCCTCCTCCGCCAGGAAGCGGGCACAACCAGTACCCGCCGCCTCCGCGATCACAATACGAGGGCAGCCAGGGCTACACTGCTCCACAGGTAAGGCTATTTTGTTGAATTTTGTGTTTGACCGGCATCAGGTCTTGGCTGACTCCTGCATCAGTCTTCCTATGGAGAGTATCAGCCTCCACGTGAAGATCAGTACCGATCCCCCCGCTCCTCTGGCATGCAAGTAGGCCAGTATGCTGGCGAGTACGATTACAACCGTGAACGTCGCAACTCAGGGCCCCTTGCTGCCAGTCAATACCGTGGTGACGGCTCGTCATACTATGCCCCCCCATCTTCCGGGTATGACGATCGCTACGCCGACCGTCCCAGCTCCCGAGGCTCAAGACGGGAAAAAGAAAGAGAAAAGTCAAGAGAAAGGGGAGAGAAACATCACGGCGGACACGAGGCCGAGAAGAATATAGGCGCAACTCTCCTTGGTGGCGCCGTTGGCGGATGTAAGTTCCATGTTCCAATGCCTGTTGGACAACGCCTAACCGTCGCACAGGGGCTGGTCATGAATTGGGTCACAGCAACAGTCTCATCACCGTTGCCGGAGCGCTTGCAGGTGCATATGCCGGCCACAAGCTCGAGTCTAAGCATGAGAAGGACAAGCACAAGAAGAAAGAACGCCGGGAAGGCGAGGCTTATAGCGAATACTATGACGACTACGATGGCCGCCGAAGCCGCTCCGTCTCCCGTTCTCGCAGGAGGTCAGGTAGCAGGAGAAGTATAAGCAGTAGCAGCAGTGATAGCGACAGCAGCAGGCGCAGACACCGTCACCATCACTGAGCAAGGTCCGGTTCACGAGTGCTCGTTGATTGGTTTGGAGGAGTGTCGAGTGTCTAGCTCTCTTTGTCCGCTGTGCGCTTTGGGATCATCGCCTATGCTTTATGCGACAATGCGTTCAATGACGATTAGACTACCCTCCTCGTGTTCCGAATTTGGTTCTCACTCACTCACTCTCTCTCTCTGAAAACCCACAGGTGCGTGAGTTGTCGTCTGGACACGACAAAACTAGATTCCGTCGAAGGCCCAATATAGAAACTTCTACCCCGAAGAACTTAGGGAAATAAAGTGTGGCAAAGCGGTGCAAAATGCAGCGCCCTGAACGGCTTACCCTGCATGTTAGCGAGTTCATGTCTGCCAACGTCCAATGTGGAGAGTGCCAGATTCTGGGAAGACAGCGCGCGACTGCCACTGCATGGCTGTGAGCTAGCACTTTCGAATAGTTTAGTCAGTCACGGTCCTTCAGAGAGCATATATTCGAAGGTGTTTCACAGGTGTTCCAATGGCGTAGATCCGCATCTTCGCGCGTGTGGAAGAGGCCATCAATAGTAGCGGTGCCAGTAGTACCCGAACAGCGTCAGATCCATTCATTGCTGACAATGGAAGAGTAAAGCCCAGTTCGCACCGAAGATACGACATAAGCCGCTAAGAACGGTAATATCCTTGCAATTGGTTTGTTCAGCCAATCGGCAAGCTTGTAACAGGAACGTTTCGCCGACTTCTCGGAGCCCCAGCGGTTGGGTTGGCTGCTCTCCTGTAAATTTTCGCGCACACCGTCATTGCTCGTGTCGATACAGGCTTTGAATGCAAACAATATGAATGTGAGAAGGGTTCGAGGCACCGACAAGGGGCTCGTCTCACTCGTCGCTTTCTGTGGTCTGCGGGCCTCGTATTTGATCCTCGCGAAATTTCAGGAGCCTAGGAGAAATTGTGGGAGAAAATTGTCGTTCTTATCAGTTAGTTCCATTCCTATCGATAAGGGGGATTTTTTGATACGAGAAAGACGTGGACGGGTTCCCACAGGCCCTCAAGCCCAAGGCTACCTCAGTAACCCTCACCAAAGAAGGGCGGGGGACGACTGCTGCAAGCCCGACGAGTAAAATGGATGACAAGCTGTTCAAGGCAAGATGGCTACCAATCACCAGGGGGACAGTCGGTGGGAACGCCCACCTAGGAGGCGAAGCCTGTGCATGCTTACACATTTTCTCATGTCTGGCGGGAAAAAGGCGACCTGGGGAATTGGTCCTTGTCAACTTGCCGTGCGAGCTGTATTCTGGACGTGCTAGCGAGTACCGGGTAGGATATTGGGCATTCAGATCTGACGTGGTAGGCGTAAATACAGGCTGCGGACTGGTTTGAAACCCCCTGCCCCGGTTCCCTTGTTGCTGTAACAGAAGGGTGCGGATGTCGATTATCCATGGCTGAGTGGCGACAAAAATAGGTCTTCCAGAACTACATGGTGCCCTGGCACATGGAGCGCCATCCCGTTATGCCTGGTTATGCCTGGTTATGCCTTGGTGTGATTGCCCCCTTTTTCTTCAGATTTTTCGACCTGTCCAGACAAATCCATGCCACTAAACCTGGGGAGCAAGATCCTCTGGATCCCCGGGTCGGACTCATTTATTGGGATCTTGGGAGGCTTCTTGGTGAGAGTGTCTCTCTGTGGTCTGGGTCGGCCAACGCGGCAGAGGACTAGAGGAAGGCGGTCAAAGTCAACTGGGAGTGAGCAGCCATTTGATGGATTCGATGGGGGAGAAGCAAGGGAGAGTGATGGGGGCGCCGGGTGAATGGGGCGATGCGCCCGGATGTGACTGGCGAATGTACAAAATGGACCAGGGGTTGCGACGAGTGATAGCCGGTGGCAGAGGCCAACAGAGGCCTGGCAAGGGACTGGCAAAGGGACTGGCAGCCACTAGCGGAAAAAAAAAATTCTGTGAGCAGTCAACGGCCGAGTCCAGATACAAAATAAAACCCAGGCCTGCTCACCCTGACCATCCTCCTTCCTTACAATCTCTCTTCTCTCACCTCTCCTCCTCCTCTAGACTCCTCCCGCATTTTCTCTTGTTCATAGAGTCTTTGCACGTTCTTTTTTCCCTACCTTTTAGACGCTAGATAGAGCGAGAGACCGGCGTGGAAGCGCAGTCTTCGTGGGCACCTCCGTCTCAGCCGACATAGACCGCCTTTTTTTCACATTCCTGAAATTTTTCCACCCACAAAACACCAGAGTCGAGTTATCTATCCCTTTTCCCAACTTCCTGAGTGACCACCAGAAATGCCCTCAGTCGACACCATGTCTTCAACTCCTACTTCCTCGTCAAAAGAGACGAAGCAGTCGATCGCCACCCTGGAGCAGTTGCTGCACCAACTGTCCATCTCCAAGACTCAGGATGAGGCAAACGGCGCCGCTGGCAACGTCGCCACATTCTTGAATGGTCCCATCGAGGAGCACGATGTGCCTCTCAAGGCTGTTGACATCTTGAAGAAACAACTGAGCAATAAGAAGGATGCTAATGTGCGAGAGCGAGCGCTGGATGGCATCCGAGCCATCGCCTCCCACTCCACCATTGCTCCCGGTGCCGAACCCTACCTTATTTCCTTGCTACCGCTGGCCCTGAGCGCAGTTGGTGACAAGATGGTTTCAGTCAAGAACGCTGCGCAGGCCGCATCTCTTGCCATCGTTAGAGCCATCAACCCCAATGCCGTCAAGGTCGCCCTTCCTCACATCCGAAATTCCATCATTACGGCCCAGAAATGGCCCGAGAAGATGACCGGTCTCGACTGCATCGAGGCTCTCGTCGAAACCGCTCCCACTCAGCTCTCCTTCCTTGTCCCTACTCTCATTCCGATCGTTTCCGAGTCAATGTGGGATACAAAGCCCGAAGTCAAGAAGAAGGCATATGGCACAATGGAAAAGATCTGCAAATTGATCGAAAACAAGGATATCGAGAAATTCATTCCCGAGCTCATCAAGTGTATCTCTAAACCTGAGAACGTTCCCGAGACCGTTCACTTGCTTGGTGCTACCACTTTCGTCACCGATGTCCATGAGCCGACTTTGGCCATTATGGTTCCTCTACTTGAGCGTGGCCTCGCTGAGCGCGACACCGCCATTAAGCGAAAGTCTGCTGTCATCGTGGACAACATGTGCAAACTGGTCGAAGACCCTCAAATCGTCGCGGCTTTCTTGCCCAAGTTGATGCCTGCGCTTACGAAGAATTATGAGAACATGGCCGACCCCGAGGCTCGTGAAAAAACCAAGCAGGGCTTGGAGACTCTCAAGCGTGTCGGTGCAGTCAAGGAGGACGGCTCCTTCCCCAAAATCTCGAACGCTGGTGAAATCGCCACTGTCGTCCCGATCTTGAAGGAAATCATCGAGCAAAAGCACAAGGGCGCCGTTTCAAAGGCTGACACTGTCATTGACTACGTCGCTGCCATTGCAGGCCAGTTGATCGACGAGAAGGTCATCGATGAACCCGACTGGGTTTCCAATACCGTCGAGTACCTCAAGACTATTGTCGGTGAAGCCGACGCCAAAGCGGTTGCCGAGTCTCTCCGCAAGCGTGCTTCCCCTGGTATTGAGGACGAACCTGAGGCCGAACCAGATGAGGAGGAGGGTGAAGATCTCTGCAACTGTACATTCAACTTGGCCTATGGTGCTAAAATCCTTCTCAACCAGACCACGCTGCGGCTTAAGCGTGGCCAACGCTATGGTCTGCTCGGTCCCAACGGTTCCGGTAAATCCACTCTCATGCGAGCTATCAACAACGAGCAAGTCGAAGGTTTCCCCAAGCAGTCCGAAGTGAAGACCGTGTTCGTTGAGCATGACCTGGACGCTGCCGATACGGAACTCACTGTCATGGGCTGGACCGAGATGAAGCTGAGATCCGTCGGTATTGACACGCCTGTATCTGATATCAAGGCCAAGCTTTTGGAGTTCGGTTTCCTTGAATCCCAGATGGAGGGCCCTATTACCTCGCTCTCTGGTGGCTGGAAGATGAAGTTGGCTCTTGCCCGTGCTGTGTTCGAAAACCCCGATATCCTCCTGCTCGATGAACCTACCAACCACTTGGACGTGAAGAACGTTGCCTGGCTGGAGAACTACCTCATCAACTCTCCTTGCACCTCCATCATTGTCTCCCACGATTCCAAATTCCTGAACAACGTCATTCAGCACGTCATCCACTACGAACGCTTCAAGCTGCGCAGATACCGTGGCAATTTGACCGAGTTCGCCAAGCGAGTGCCATCTGCTCGCTCCTACTTCGAGCTCGGTGCTTCCGAATTGTCCTTCAAGTTCCCCGAACCTGGTTTCCTCGAAGGTGTCAAGACCAAAGCCAAGGCTATTGTCCGTGTCAATAAGATGGCCTTCCAGTACCCAGGAACCGACAAGCCACAGATTCAGGATATTACTTTCCAGGTATCTCTTGGTTCTCGTATTGCGGTCATCGGTCCCAACGGTGCTGGCAAGTCTACCCTTGTCAACGTTCTCACCGGTGAATTGATCCCTACATCGGGTGAGATCTACCAGCACGAGAATATTCGTATCGCCTATATTAAACAGCACGCCTTCGCTCACATTGATAACCATTTGGACAAGACTCCATCAGAGTACATCCAATGGCGATTCCAGACAGGCGAGGACCGTGAAACCATGGATCGTGCAAACAAGATTGTCACTGAAGATGACGAGAAAGCTATGGACAAGATATACAAGATCGATGGCACTCAACGACGCGTGATTGGTATCCACGCCCGAAGAAAGTTCAAGAACTCGTATGAGTACGAGTGTTCGTTCGCTCTTGGTGAGAACGTTGGCCAGAAAAACGAGAAATGGACGCCCATGATGACTGCCGACAATGCCTGGATTCCCCGTTCCGAGATCTTGCAATCCCACCAGAAGATGGTCGCCGAGGTCGATCAGAAGGAAGCTTTGGCCAGCGGTCAATTCCGACCTCTGATCCGACGTGAGATTGAAGCACATGGTGCCAACTTCGGTCTCGATG